TTGCTTCCAAATGCTCCAGATAGCTTCAATGATCCACAAGGAAGAGATTGCACACCTTAAGTTGGCTTGAATTGGCTCCAAACTCAGAATCCGATTTCAAGTTGCAGTTGAGAAAATTTTCTTGCTCTGGCGCGAAATGAAGCTCCAAAATTGATCTGAACTCACTCTAATGAATATATAGAAGAGTTCCATGGGCCTTTGCAATGTGTTTAAAGCCCAAATCCGTGTATCCAATTTTCTGATTTTTCCTTCAAAATTCAATATGACAGTCGTGCCTTGCAAGCTTGGCAGTGGTTCTATAATGTTCTCACACCTTGCACATGTCATTTAGAATGAGTTTGGATGAAGGAATTGGCCTGAATTGCCTTGTACATTGATTTTGCATATGTAACTTACAAGTGAAGTAACCATATGTTATCTCTCAAAACTTGAACTAAACTCCAAATTCTGGTATTGCCAATGATCCTAGAATGCAATTTCCAATCAAAAAATGCACTTACTTGCTTGGTTTTGGTTTTGTAACACAAAGTCCCATTTTTCCCTCCTTTTCATATTTGAACATTCTTCATTTTCAAGCCATTTCAAATGTATTTTTGATATGAGCCAAAACAAGCTATCATGACCACTTGGTTGCACTCAAAACATCATTCCAAACAACTTTCATGTTGAACAATTTTCCATTTGAAGCTTGCAAGTTGGAGATTTTGGCCCATGCTTGAAAATGACCTATAATCTCACTTTCCCAAAATACCTCTGACTTGTAAACCTCATAACTTGAGTTCTACAAATCAGATGGATGACTTCTAGTACAGTTTAGAAAGCTAAGATTATGAGGAAAAACTTTCATGTTGGCCAAAAGTTCATGTGAAAACTCTTTCTAGGTCAAAGGTTGCTTGGAAGTCAAGTGACTTTCACAGATAAATTTCACATTCATCTGGTGACCTGTAACTTGTCTGGGCCATAACTTGAGTTCTACAAATCCAATGGAGGACTTATAGTACTCAAATTAAAGGTATTGATATGTTCTACAAGGTTCATGTTGGCCAAAGATTCATTTGAAACTTGTATCTTGACTTATGTGGCTTTGAAGTTAGGCACTAAATAGGGTAATTTGCACTGAAACCCTAATTTAGCAACTTCCCACATTCTTGATTCTTCTTGATTTGATCTTGGCACAACACCACAAATGTCTTATCACATCATTCCATGAACTCCATGACCTAAAAGTAGGCTTTGATACTCTTCAATTGCATAATTGACCTAGGGTTGATCCAGATGAAACCCTAATTGCTTGCACCTCAACTGTGGCCCTTGCACTTAAACTAATGACTTGATTGAAATCTAACATGGCCCTCTAGGCACTTTATGAGCTCTATACATATCTCATATTCACCCCTCATGCTTCACATCCCATTGATGGTCTTCAACTGATCAAGATTTCCCACCACCTCCTGATGACTTGGATGACTTCTCAAACTTGGGTAAGATTTCTTGCTAGGCTTCTCTTGATAATAATCACACTTGATCTCCTATTGGATGAATGATATACCATGATATGCAAATGATAATGCAATGAAACATAAACCAGGTAAAAGATGTTGAGCAAATTTTGGGGTGCAACAAAAGTGTAGGAAGAAATCTTAGAGAGAGTGATCGTGGCAAAAAAACTGATTTGAACGTTAAATGATATTTCGTCTGTGTGACGCTCGTAATGGAACGTGATGGTCGTCATGCGCATGATGGTCGTAATGGACCTGTGACGACCGTCATATCAGCAAAATCCATTTTTTCTGTTTTTCTTCTCTCTTTTCCTTCCATTTCTTCTTCTTTTCTTTCTTTAATCCAAATTCTCCCCAATCTGCAAAACGAAGTAAATTAATCATATAATAGAATATAAATCAAGATAAATTAATAATAGTCACAAATAAGTGCGTGTAAATCAAGCCAAATAAACGATATGATTTCGCGTTATCATGGGTCCATCCCACAGTTGTATAATCTCTAATCTGATGCAAGACCATCGCAAACTCAGCTCTCGATTGATTTGCGATGAGATTCTGTCAGTCGTTAGCGACAACCCGTCTTTGAACGTGAGTACTATAATTGCATATATGGTTCAAAGGTACAATTACACTCCTTCGTACCGAAAAGTCTGGATTTCCAGAACTAAAGCGGTTGAAAGGGTGTTTGGGAATTGGGAGGAGTCGTACAAGGAACTTCCAAAATTCCTGGTGGCTCTTAAAGACTACTCTCCGAGAACTTTTGTGGTATTGGAGACAATGCCTACGTGTACAGCAGACGGGACTTGCATTGGTGGAAATGGAATTTTTCACATACTCTTTTGGGCGTTCGAACCATGCATCAAAGGGTTTGCATATTGTAAGCCTATAATTCAAATTGACGGAACATGGTTATATGGAAAATACAAGGGCACATTTCTCATGGCTGTGGCACAGGACGGGAACAACAACATTTTTCCAATAGCCTTCGCTATAGTAGAAGGGGAGACTGCTGGGGCTTGGAGTTTTTTCTTAAAAAATCTCCGCTATTATGTGTCTCCCCAACCTAACTTATGTTTGATCTCTGATCGACACCCATCAATCGAGAGTGCATACAACAACCATGACAAAGGTTGGCAGGATCCTCCCTCGATCCACGTCTATTGCATAAGGCATATTACCCAAAATTTCATGCGGGAAATCAAAGACAAGACGCTACGGAAGAAGGTTGTGAACGCAGGATATACACTAACTGAACCAACATTCAAATACTACCGTGACGAGATCAGACTAACAAACGCGGATGCATTGAGATGGATTGATAACATTGATAGAGAGAAATGGACACGGGCATACGACAATGGGGTGCGATGGGGCCACATGACAACCAACCTCGTCGAATCAATGAACTCTGTTTTCAAGGGAATTAGAAACCTCCCAATAACTGCCTTGGTAAAGGCAACCTATTTTAGGCTAGGATCACTCTTTGATAGCAGACGTACGAAGTGGGGTTCGGTATTACAATCGGGCCAGCTATATAGTGATACATCAATGAAATTCATGAAAGAGGAAGCTGCCAAAGCCAACACACATGTGGTCACAATCTTTGATCGTACAACTAGTTGGTTCAGTGTTGCCAAGTCTATTGATCATAACGAAGGAAGACCTAGGGGATGTTACCGTGTTGAATTGGATAATAGCTAGTCTGATTGTGGAAAGTTTCAAGCATTTCGTATACCTTGCTCTCATGTCATAGCAGCATGTTCGAAGTTGAGCCAGGACCCAACCAACCTTCTTTCTGCAGTTCACAAAGTGATAAGTTTATGTAATGTCTACACATGCAGCTTTCATGTGGTGGCAAAGGAGAACTATTGACCTGAATACGAAGGCGAAATTGTTTGGCATAATGACTTCATGCGCAGAAAGAAAAAGGGCCGCCCTAACAACACGCGCATTCGAACGGAGATGGATACCGCAGACAAGCTGGTGAAATTGTGTAGTTCGTGTCGGCAACCAGGGCACAATCGTACAACATGTCCTAACGTAGGATCAAGCAGCAGATAATAGTTTCATATGTAATCTTGTCCATTTAAATTAATAGCAAATTTCATTCGATTAATAGCAAATTTCATTCGATCAATAGCAAATTTCATTCGATTGATAGCAAATTTCATTCAATTAATAGCAAATTTCATTCAATTAATAGAAAATTTCATTAATTTAAAAGCATAGTTAACTGACATAACAACAACATAAAGAAAGAACACTGCACCAAGGCAACATAAATTAAACAACGTCTACGATATCACGACCATCAACTTTATCTTCTTTGGTGTCAACATCATCACAAGGACACCGACATCATTTTCCACTTTTCTCCATTCCCCCCAATGTGGCACCGGTGGTCACTTGGATAGAGCCGACCATTAGTTTTTATTTTTTTCCAATTGTAATTGTAATTTTCATTAGATTGTAAATTAATATATTTTATTGTTTCTATATTTTTTTTTAACATTTTTATATTTCTTAAAATATTTATTATAATGTTTATAAATTTAATAACAATTACCATTAAAATATTTACACAAACATAATCTTTAAATAATTTATTAAAATATAATATTAAAATATAAAATGTTTAAATAATTTATTATAATTTATTATATATTAAAATATAAAACCTAATTTATTAAAATACAAAATAGGTATTTATTAAATAAAACACAAAATGAAAACGAAATCCTAATGTTACAACTAAGTCGCCATTTTGATAGGCGAATCACTCACTTTTCCTCACAGTCGCCGTTTTGATTGGCGACTCCATCTCTGATCAAAATCTCATTTGCACTAAGTCGCCATTTGAAATGGCGACCGCACGTTGGAACCTAGCCAGAACGGACAATTATTGAAAAATATCTATTATTTAGTAATTTTGGAGTAATACTGTGTTATTCTAAAAAAAAAAATATTCCACAACTTTGACCTCATAAACTAATTCACTTGCAAGACCTAATATGTCCTATCATGGGATTTTGGATCATATAGAAATTACAAACTAGCAAGAAAAAAAGAAACTACATGAAAAATTTTCTATTAAAAACTAAGTCAACTTTCAACACGGTGAACTAGCAACATAAGACGGCCAACTAACCTTATTCTTCATGAAACATAGAGGAAGTTTCCAAACAATAGAGTACCAAAACTAACCCCAACAACAAATAAATAACAGAGATTCACAAGGGTATTTCGGTCTAGAAAGAAAAATTAACAGACGCTACTCGTTTTTCTTATATTAGTTAAAATTAAAAACTCCGCGTCTGCGTCACGGTTTTAGTCTTGAAACTTATAAATGGAAAAAATCAACACAACACGTTTATTCAATTAAGTTAATCGCTTATATAACCCCCTCAACTTCTCCACTTCTTCACGTTCACAAACACCAATCAAAGAATCGCAAAAGAGAACGTTCAAAACACCAGTTAAAGAATCGAAAAAGAGAAAATGGAAGAAGAAGGTTGCGAATGCAGACCCTTGGGTTTCTTGCTTGGACTACCCTTCGCTCTCTTGGCTTTGATTTTATCTCTCGTAGGAGCAGTTATCTGGACTTTTGGGTACATAACTTCTCTTCACTTTTCTGATAATTTCTTTTACTTCAATGAATCGTATATAGTCACAGATCTTGATATTAGTCTAATTACATTGTGTTTTTTCATTTGTAGGTCTATATTGAGTTGTTTATGCCCTTGTTGCATTTGCTGTACTGGATTGGCAAATTTGGCGGTGAGTCTTGTGAAGCTTCCAATTAGGGTTCTTAGGTGGTTTACTCATCAAATTCCTTGCTAGACGATGACGATTCCTAGTGTGTGATATTGACTCGTTTTTTCTTTGAATTTGGTTACTTCTATGTGATTAATTGGTTAATTACGATAATATTGACTCATTTTGTAACAATATTTAGCCCTAATTTTTTCTTTGAATTGGTTTACTTGTGTATGATTAATCGAATCGTTTTAATCATATTTGATTCTTTCTTCTCTTTCTGTGAATATTTGATTCTTTATTTTTCGTCATTTGATTTGTGTTAGATGGACTCGGTATCGTCATCTAACTAGAAATACTCACCAAAATGTTTGAATATTTTAAAGCAAACGAAATTGAATAGAATATAATGGAATTCAATATACATAATTTCATTATTTTATTGCTCGGATATTTTATAATGAAAAAAAATGATTCCTATGCTTGATAGTTACGTTGTACGATACAAAATCTTGGATTGTAAAGAATTAATATGGAAATAAATTAAGTATAGATGATGTTGGTAAAATTAAACTAGATAAAGATTAAAAATTATAATATTTGAGTGATGGTTGGGTCAAAACTTATAATAAAAAATTTGGTAAAAAGCTAAACATAAATGGTTTGAACATATGGATATAAGAGTTCTGGATTATGATAGTAAAAACAGAAGATGAGATAGAGAATAAACTTACATAGTAAAAACAGAAGATGAGATAGAGAATAAACTTACAAAAATCTATAAAAGAAACATGATTTTTGATAAAACATTATGAAGTAGTTTAATCTATATAATCAATCTCACTTGATAAAAAATGTTTGGTTATTATTGTATAGTATATAAAGTGTCCTCCCTTCCCTTTTATTTTTTTATTTTTTTGGTTATTGAGTTTATCTAGTTTAGTGATTATGATTTTTTTTTATAATACAGATCAATCAACTTGATTAAAAACATTTTAAGCAATATTGTAGCGGTAAAAATTGTGAGTGTAAGTTATTGACTAACTTAACTCAAAGAAAACAAGAGTCGCCACCGCACTTTTATTTTATCCAAATAAAGGAAAGGAAAAAGAGCGAACAAAACCAAAGAGTTCTAAAATAAGAACACGAGACAGAGATCGGGGTAAGGGGGTTGGTTACGCAATGGGAAGGTGTTAGCACCCAAAATGTCTATAGTACTCTATAGGAGCCCTTTGAAATATTTACGCTTTTTGGTTTGAAAGTGGTTTGTTTGAAAAGAGATTGGGGAGATGAGAAGAGAATTATTTTTTTAGATTTTTGTGTTTGGAGAGACTTATCGTCTCATGCCTACGTACCCATAAAGTGCAATATGGAATCAAAACCCCGTAGTTCGTGGTACAAATGACAAAATTTTGTTGGTTTTGATTGATTTTAGATGTTCAGACAAGTCGTCATTTCAAGGAGAAAACTGCGACTATCCACCCACGAGTATTAAGACAACATCTGCGTCACATAAAGATGGAGGATTTGCTTGGATTATCAACAAGACTATCACTCAACATCAACGTGGAAAATGTCAAAGTCTTAATAATATGGGGAATAGGAGATTTACATCTCAACTATAGAAATGAATCATGTCTAAACTTTATGAAAAAGTTTTAAAGTGAAAAAGTGCATAAAGGCACAAAAAGAGTTGATGAGTTTTTGTATTTTTTATGTCTTTTGAAATTGGTCAAAACATGATTAACATTGATTGACTTTTATTAAGAAAGAAACAAAGTTTAAAAATCACTTGACGAAAGTCAAGGTTTTATTGCGAAAGCGGTTTTGAAGTTTGAAACCAAGAAAGTTTTGAAAAAGGGAGAAAGTTTTGAAAATTTAAGAAGGGGAGGAGATGAAGTGACTATCCTAAAAAAAAAAAAAAAGAGCTAGAGGTAAGAAAGATCTAACCGACTTGTAGCACACTCCAAAGCAAGCAAAAAGAATTCCATCCGATTTAAAGCATAAGCTAATGAGCGAGCCAAATAAAGGCTAAGATCCACAATACTCCAAGCATAGGAATGAAAGTCCTAATTCTAAGTCCAAAATGCCCATGAAGTCCGAAGTCTAAGAATGGTCCAAGAGTATAACCACAAAGTTAATAGCACCAAATTTTTTTAGATGTTTTATCCTTTATTAGTGTTTTGAACAAAGTATGGTCCAAATGGACAAAAGAAAAATGACATAAACAATAAACAAAGATATGGTATGAAATGATAAAATGGAAGCATAAAAGTAAAAAGAAATGAGTAAGAAGAGAATATAAACAAAATTAAACAAGGATATTGTTAGTGAATTAGTGGTTAGTGGTTAGAACATATGATCAATGATGATTAATTCTTGCACTTAGACCAAGATTAATGAAAATTCATTAGAGGATTGATAGAATCAAAGCCTCCTAACAATGATTTTCATAGGTATTGGAATTAAGACAACCAACTAATCATACTTGGACTTTTAAACGTAAGTTTGAGCCACGAATGATCATTTTCCGATTAAGGGACAATTTAGCGCTATGTTAAGCAATCGTAATCGGGTTTATGTAGAAACCACGACTATCTGAGGCCGGTCAATAAAATGTTAGTGTTAATACATGTTAGAGAAGTGATATGTAAATCACTCTCCTAAAACATGCCACACAAAAAGAAAAGAGGTAGTGATCTCATCATAATCAAGACTTTTCATCAATTAATCAAAGGTAATCTATCACTATTCCAAAGTAAGGAGAATTATCTCAATGATTATTCGTCCATAGATTTGAAATAATGAAGATTAAACCACCTTGATAATCAACAATCTATGATCCATAGATTTCATCGATCAAAAGAAAAAGAAGAAGAAAGAGAATTAAAATGAACCTTAATTCGATTAAATCGTCATTAATATCAATCACCTCTCTTGGCGGATTTGAAATTTATCCTATCAACGCCCATGGTCCATTGAGATTAACAAAATCATATTCAAAATTTAAGATCCAACCAAATCAACCAACAAGAAATTCAAAAAAAGAAACATAAACAAAAAGAAAAGGGAGGTTTATAAACAAAGCATGGTGATGGTAGTGGTAAAAGGCCACACGGCCCAAGATCTATTTATTTATTTATTTTTTTTAAAAGAAAAAGAAAACTAAAATAAAACAAAAGTAAAGTAAATGGAAACAGAAGCTGTAGAACTTCGTCATCTTCTTCAATGATGTGTCACGACTACTATTCACAAAGCCATGGATGCTTCAGTGCTCTCTCAAATCGGAGCGGCGGGACACAAAAAGTACGCGGTTGGAGTCGAAATGCAAAGTGGACTCCAAATATATTCTCGATTTCAAACGAAACTCAAACATAGAGGCACATTCAGAAGATGAAGTTTCGACGAAAACCGGTAACTACCTTCAATTGAAGTGAATGACGATTGGATTTCTCTTCTTCTCTTTCTTCTTTGAATCTGGAGATGCGAAATTGAATTCCAGTTTTGATGATGAAGGTTAAAGAAAAATTGAAGGGTAATATTGATGAATTTTCCAGGATTATGAAGGTTAATTGAATGAATCTTGAAGGTGATTGAAGGAAGTTTGGATTGAAGTTTGGTTTTATTTTTGCAGAGGTTTTCTGGCTTTTCAAGCTTCTTGGACAGCATCTTCACTACATCCCTCAACTTGTGTTGCAGGTTCAGCTAATAAGAAAATACGATCCAAATATACTAAAACAGGATCTTGGCCAAGCCTACTCCATGGAACCTTAAGTTTCACTGATCCAAGAAAACCTGCTTTAACCTTCACTGGCAATTTTAAAGCATTTAGAGCCTCTGGTTTCAGCTGCATATTCTTCAGCTCTAGAACAAATCACAACCTGACCTTGGCCTTTCCTTTCAAGGTCTACCACACAGAAGTCAACAATGGGCCCCAAATTGACATACCTTTCCAAGACTTCCACATAACAACTTTTTGCATCAGGCTGTAAATTTAGCTTTATGAGCTGTGAATCTCCATAGCTTGAACAAATGCATTATCGAGGTATGAAATTGTAGATGCAATGGAAGTCTCACCAGGCAGTCTAAAGCCTTGAAGAAACATCCTGATTGCCTCATCAAACTCCATCTCTTGAAAGTCAAAAGAATCCACATAGGCATGCATTACTTGGAGTCATTTTGATATGATTGGCACTTGATAATGTAGTCAGCTCTAAATCAATAGATCTACTTCCAGCATCAACTTTCCATGCCCTATTCTCCACCTTCACCTCTGATAAAAATGAACACAACTACTCATGTACCAGGACATTACTTGCACCTTCCATTTTGATCTTTGACATAATTCTTTGGATTTCTGGACCAAACTTCTCATAGAACACTGCTTTGATAAACCAATGAATTTCAACACAAAACAAATTGACCGTGAACAAACACATTTGCTGAGAAAATATCCTACCACCACGGGTAATTCACAGTTGAAGCAAACCCTTGATAGTTTGACCAAGATGAGGTCAAACGTCCATCTGATTTAAACTTGAATGAATGTCCTTGGTTATCAACCTCCTTGCAAAACCCTAAACACACAAAGAAGAGGAAACAAGCAAAAATGCAAAATATTTTTGGTATTTTGGTTAGATGTTAGTAAACATAAACAACAAAAAGAAAGTAAGAAACCCATAAGGGTTCAAAAGCCAAAAGTACGACCTTGTTTGTGGAATGATATGCAAATGAAATGTGGGATCTTAGGGGTAAAAATTAGGGTATTACAGCTACCCCTATTTAAGATTCTTCTATCCGGAGATATGAAGATTGACATCTTTGTCTCGACTAGATAGAAGAGACTTAAATATAACAATAAACCCAATTTTTGGGCCTAAGAGACCACAAAATGATATGATTATGCTAATGGTATGCAAACACAAGACCTCTGTGGGGAGGAAAATGCCACAGGAGACAAACAAAAGCTCGGGAGAAAAAGAGAGACTCCACAAGGGAAAACAAAAGAGCAAGATCCTATTCCGATAAAGGAAAGGAAACGACTCAACAGGGAAAGAGATACTAACTGCCAGTTACTGGGCGAA